TTCGGAGGAGGTATTACCACTTGAGGACGAAAACATTGAGAAATTTTGATTTGATTTTATTAAGATAGTGAAAAATTATTGTGTGTAGATCGAGCGATTATTGGGATAAATCTATGTTGGGGGAGATGTGTTGCTTTTCCAATTTTTCGCAGTTCAGCAAATATGCGTAGACGACGCTAAGTTGATTGACATCCGCTTTTTTGTTCATGCAGTTGTCTGTCATAAAGATATGTGACATGAAATGTACTGTATATTAACTACTACACTTGCTCTTTTTATTCGCTCCAACACAGACACGAAATATTGGTAAAGACCACACATAAAAATATCAACCAAGGAAGATTAACGAAATATATATCGACACACCTGTTTGCAGCTGCAGATCCCACACGGAAGCGATTGCACAAAATTAATTCTGGAAATACTTTTTTGACTTCAAATGTCAAAAATTAGGTCAAGCTAAAAAAGGTTTTTAGGAGATTCCTGAATTTTTAGTTTGAATATGGAGGAAAACCCTAAAAAGGATGGAGCTAGTGAGGAAGTGGAGAGTGTGGTCTCACTGAGTGAAAAGGGATTTTGTACAGAGGAAGTTTTGAAACTAAAAGATTATACCATTTCGATTCAAGAGAAATTAATAAAAGAATTGTACGAAAAGATAGACCAATTAAACAAAAAAATTGGGAAAATGCTACAGCCGTCACAAGAAGCAATTACAACTTACGCTAATATGGTTAAAGCTTCAGGGCCTTCAACCGTTAATTCGCCTACAAAAATGGTAGAATATAAGCAGCAATGCGTACCATTACAAACATGTACAGCAAAAAAACAATCACCAGTATTAAAACCCACAAATACAGTCATTGTTAAGCCTAATAACCAACAAGAATGTAATAACACAAAGACATCGCAAAATTTGTGAATCCTACCAGTTGGAAAATTGCTATTGAAAAAGTTTATGAATTGAAAGATGGTGGGGTGAAAATCCAATGTAAAACAAAAGATGATAACGTGAAGCTAAATAATGAAATAAAATCAAAAATGCCAGAAACATATACAGTGAAAACTTCAGAGATAAGTAAAAAACCACAAATCAAAGTTATTGGATTTTGTCAAGAATATGCAGAAGACGAGCTAATAAATACTATAAAATCACAAAATGAATCTTTTCAAGAAAATTCACATATGAGAGTAATTACAGTCAAGAAAATGAAAACTAAATATCAAGCAATTTTAGAAGTGATGCTGTGACTTTTAAGTGTGTTATGAATCAGGGTGTTATTTTTATCGACATGTCTGTTTGCTCTGTTTTCGAGTACATCAATGTTTTGCGATGCTATAAATGTACCGGATTTAACCACACAGCTAAATACTGCACAAAATCAGGAAGATGTCTTACTTGTGGATTAGAAGGACATTCAACAGAAAACTGTAATACCAGTGAAATGTACAAATGCTGTCCAAATTGTAAAAGTGCAAACCAGGATTTTAATCTAGGATTACCTATTAATCATGGACCATTTGACAAAAATTGTGAAGTATATAAAAGGAAAATTGAAGGTCAGAGGGAAAAAATTAGTTATGCAAATGAATAGCAACTACTAAGCTCAGATTTGCAAGACGTGGCTAAATCTGTAAGTGATGAATATAACTCAATGTACCATTTAAACATACAAGGAGTCCTGAATAATATAGATGAAGTTCAACAGTTTTTAAGATGGAGAAAACCACTTGTATTATGTTTTACCGAAACACATGCTACAGAAGACATCACTGATGGTGAATTACAAATTACTAATTATAAAACCTACAGATGCAACTCCAACTCCAGACATACTGGAGGTGTAGTGATTTATGTTTACCACAAAATACAGATCACATTATTCGATTGTACCACATTAGACTATGCATACTGGTATGCACATATACAGTTCAAATTATTTGGGAAACGTTATGATCTTTGTACTTTTTACCGTTCACCAAACAGTGATGCAGATACATTTTTAACGTTTTTTGAAGAAAAATGTGAAGAAATGTGGAATTTTAGAAACAATATAATACTTTTAGGTGATTTTAATTTAAATTATTATGGTAAAAGCATGAAAACAAGAAAATAGAAAGAAACCATAAACAACTATGGGTTCAAGCAAAAAATTGAAGAGAGTACCAGAATAACATCGTTATCAGAGACTTTGTTAGATCTTGTTATTGTAAATTTCGAATGTGCAGGGATTAAAGCTGTACATACACCTAAAGTTAGCGATCACAGTTGGACAATGCTGCCCTTGGTAGGGCATTTTTCTGATACAAAAATTAAGAAAATCGTAAATACTACTAAGTACGAAAAACTTGAACGAGAACTTGCTGGCTGCTATTGGAATTTTGGTGAGAATATGGAAAAAATATATGACAACATAATAGGAAATATAAAAACTTGTTTAGATCTTGCAACTGTTAAAAAAGTGATTTGCTCGACAAAAAATACACCATGGTATAACAAGAATATTAAGGCACCTCAAAATTTGAGAGACAAACAATACAATAAATGTATATTCACAAAATCAAATGATGATTGGGAGGTATATAAAACTCTTAGGAATAAATGTGTATATGTAATTAGAGAAGAAAAAAGAAAATTCTACGATAAACAAATCGATAATAAAAAGTGCGACAGTGTAAAGATGTGGAAGACTTTAAAAAGACTGATCAATTCGAAGCCGCATGATTGTGTAAATCAAGTTCAATTCGAAAACGGTACTGAAACAAATTCTTTGGTGATTGCAAACAAACTAAATGAATATTTTGTGGAAAGTATTGTTGATATTGTAGGTACTGCCAATGCTGCACCTGACTATATGAAAATCAGTTTCCAGGGGGAAATGTTGCATACACTTTCAAACTTTCACAGCATATCATTGAATTATCTAAGAAAAAAAGTAAACAGTTTAAAATCAAATAACAACTGTGCCGAAATGCAGTTTATAGAAGAAAACAAAATTTTAGTGGAGGCGCAAGCAGGCTTTCGAAAAAAATATTCCACAGAAACAGCTTTCCAGTTGGTAACTGAGAATTGGAGAAGAGCCATAGACTCAGAAGAAGTTGTCATAGCAGTATTTTTGGATTTGAAGAGGGCATTTGAAACGATTGATAAAGATATTTTGTTAGGTAAATTGAAGGCATATGGTATAACAGGAAGTGTTTTAGATTGGTTTAGAAATTATTTGTCTGAAAGGATGCAAGTTACAAAAGTTAATGACACTATTTCATCAAAAATTGAAAATACGTTGGGTGTTCCACAGGGCAGTATCCTGGGACCACTTCTTTTTATTTTATACATAAATGATTTACCTGCCATAGTCAAAAAATGCAAAATTCAAATTTTCGCCGATGACACTATGATTTATATAAGTACTAAAAATATTCAGTCTGGTATCTCTTATATAAATGAAGACTTGAAGCTTGTCTCAAAATGGTTAGCATCTAACAGACTAAAATTAAATGCAAGTAAAACGAAAGCCTTGTTAATCGGAAAAAAACAATGTACAAATGTTCAACTGAATATTGATGGTGAAGATATTGAATTCGTAGAAAATTTTAAATACCTGGGGGTTTTTGTTAACTCTCGATTAATTTTTGATATTCATTATGAAAAAGTTATAAATAAGATTAGTAGTAAAGTGGGATATTTATCGAGAGTTTCTGGATGTCTGAGTTCATATAGCAGAAAAATTATCTATAATACCATCATTCTTCCAAATTTCTTGTACTGTTCGACTATTCTATATTTAGCAAATAATACCATTTTTGAAAGACTGCAAATTTTACAAAATAAGTGCATGATAATAATACTAAATAAAGATAAATATACTCCAATTAGGCAAATGCTTAGCAAATTAAAATGGCTAAATGTAAAAAATTTTATCAAATATCATGTAATGATATTCATTTATAAAGTAAAAAATAATATATTTCCATCAAGTCTAACTAATTTAACATCATCAAATGTCGACCATCATTTACATAATACCAGAAATAAAGATGACTTCCATTTAATGACCAAAAAGTATAACATATGCTACAAATCTGTATTCCATCAAGGGTTGATTGAATATAATAAATTATACTCGGAGATAAAAGACCAGAAAACTTTGACAAGATTTAAAGTAAAATTGAGAAATCACTTGTTAAATCTACAATTATAGGTTGCCCAGCATTTACATCATACACCATATGGCTTGAATTTACTAGTTCTAAGTTGTTTACAATTGTTCTGTTTATGTAGCCAAATGTGCTAAATAAATCTTTCTACTACTACTACTATTTCGAAAAACGTTCGTTTTGATAGATGTTTTTCTCTGTCTAGCACCTTGATATCATTATATCCCATTTGATGCCCTGTGGAATTCACGTGTGAAGCTAGAGCGCATCTTTCTGGATGCAGTCTGGCATCACTTTTATGCGAGGTTATTCTACCTTTAAGGGATCTTGAGGTTTGACCTATCTATGTGAGATTGCAGTTATTACAATTGATGGAGTAGACAATCTTGGATAGGCCAAGCAGAGGAACTCTATCTTTCATTTTGGAGAAGACATTGTTGACTGTGAGTGAGGATTTGTAAGAAATACGGCAATTTAAAGTGTTGCATAATCTAGAAAGTTTTGGTGTTAGATCTTTAATGTATGGTAGCACTGCGAAACTAGTTCTGGAAATTGATGGAATATCTGAATCACTAGGAGGATTGTCATTGTTATTATCATTGTTATGTGACAATGGTATAGCAGCGGGAGAGCTGAACAAGATTCTGTTTGTCAGGTATTTCGGATAACCATTATTCGTGAAAAGTGTTGAGATTTTGCGTAAGTTTGAAAGATGGAAGGTACTGTCAGAAATGCTAGTGACCCTTGTTTTCATTTGATTTATCTTTATCTTAAGTTTGTGGTAGGATCTGAAATTCAGGAATCTATCAAATAATTTTTTGAAAGTAATATCATTGGACTATTACCTGTTTTCCTTGTATGCCTTGTGCAGTAGCGACAACCGTTTTGCCCTGACTCGCGGTTCCTCCTGATACAATCAGTCTCTGTGTAGCTGCCTGTAATTGAGCGGCACTCAAGCTAGCCACTGATACTACTGTCGATGTCTGAATCGGAGACGCTATTATACGTTGGCTACGCAATGTATCTGTAAAAAAAATACTTTAGTCGGTGTTATAGTTGATATTGTGTTTATCATTCTAAAAGTGGCCTTGAGTTTCCATGGATTCGAAAATAGTAAAACATACCTTCGAATATACAGAGAAACCCAAATATCACTGACTTCGTAAAGTGTACGAGTGAAAAGCGCGAGAAGCGTGTAATATGTCTGAAGAAATAGTGCGCCGACGGCAACGCGTCAAGTCGCAGCTGCTTCCGTGGCCTCCTCACTTGGGTTGCTATGCAACGAGGCACATTCTAACTTTTTCTAATATACGTATTGCACCCTTCCCTCTCGTACACATTACGACGTCAGTACTATATGGATTTCTCTACGAGCCTCTTCCCACTTCAGTTGGCCCAACTATTGAAATCTTAGTTTTTTTCTTATCAAACACAAATAATAAAAATGAAGCAGGTTGTTATAGGTTTAAAATATTAACAATGAATATTTTGATAATATATAGTAGAAAACACTAACTTTATCACTCCCTACTCAAATTTGCAGCACAAAAATAACACATGTTGTAATTACAGCAAATCAACTTATTTTCATTTCAATGCAAAATAAGTCTATAACGCAGAGGTGGGTGTGAAAAATAAAAGCCATGACAATTGTTTTTATTAATCACAGCTGTCAGAATTCGTTTAAAATAGATTTAGGTAGTTAAGGTTTTCAAAATGGGTAGAGGAAAGGTTATTAGTGAGAAAATTCGGTTACTGATAATTAAATTTTTTAATTCTGGGAAATCAAACTCAGAAATTGCAACTTTGTTAGACTTATCGCGGTACAGTGTGAGAAATATTGTTAGAAGATATAACGTAACTGGCTTAGTTAATATTAAGCCACGATATGTGAAAAAAAGTAATATCACAAATGCCGACCGAAGAGCATTAAGCAGAATAATCGTGAAAAACAGGCGTGCCAATTATTTACAATTAAGTGCTCTGTGGAGTGACGCTGTTGGAAGGAGAATTTCGAGGTCCACAACTCATAGAGAGGCCCACAAACTGGGATTTAGCACTTGCAAGGTAAGCTTTCTTATAAAAAAAGTGAATTAAAAACCCTAAAGTTGCACTGCACAACTTGTTTATCGGCCAAAGAAAAGCCACTATGAACTCCACATCAAAAGAAAAATCGGCTTAGATGGGCTAAAGAACATAGACAATGGACACCTCAACAATGGTTTGCAATACAATGGAGTGATGAGGCCCGATTCTAAGTTTGTGTTGGTGTCAGTCGCAGTAGAGTTATTCGCAAAAAAATGAAGTATTCCATGTTGACTGAAGAGAAAAGTGAAATTTCCAGCATCCATTGTGGTCTGGGGCAGGATGTCATCAAAAAGAGTAGGAAAACTTCATTTTATTGATGGAGATGTGGATACAAACAAATATTTGGCAATTTTAGAAGAATCGCTTTTACCAGTGATGGAAGAATGTTTGACATCCGGCCAAGATTTTGTGTTTCAGCAAGATGGTGCAGCGTGCCATACCTCAAAAAGGCTATAAAATGGATGGGAGAAAATAATGTACCACTTTTGAAATGGGTTTCTATCAGTCCAGATCTGACCTATTGAAACTTTGTGGCACGAGATGAAAAAGGTTTTACGACAACATTCTCCTCGTACAATCACCGAACTGAGACAAAAGCTTCAAGAAATATGGGACTGTTTTACACCAAATTTTTGCCAAAACTTGGTTAACACTATGCCCCAAAGAATTTCAGCCTTAATAAAAAATAAAGGTGATGTTACCCAATGGTAATCTTTCAATTGTAGCTTTGTTAACTTCGCGCATTTATTCGCACATTGTTAATTTGTTCAGATGTTCTATTAGTTATAGGTCTAAGTGATTTCAAATATGTATTTTTTACGACTAGAGTGTATCTAAAATGTTTTTGAGAAAATAAATTGTTTTAGAAATAAATAGTTTCGTCATGTTTAGTTTATAAAGGCATATTTTGGTACAAATCTTGAAGTGGGAAGGGGCTCGTATATAGCTTTCCGTGATCCATTGTTGTTAGCATTGACTGCGTTCGAGGAATTATACAAGGGTTACTCCCTGCAGATGCTTATTTGATGGATCTTTGACAGTGAAAGAAGTAATCTAAGTAGGTTATATTAGCAAAATATTAAGTTTGTATGTCAAACCTGTTTAGACGTTATGTGCTTTTTGGTTCATGAGTAACAAGGATTTTAATAGAAATAGAATCTGTTGTGCAAAGGACTGTAATAAAATACCTACAAAATAAAATATGGCGCCCATTGAAATTCATCGAAACATTGTGGCGACTATTGCAGGATATGGAGTTCCTTATGATATAGTAAAACGCTGGTGTCTCGATTTTAAGTGTGAAAACATCTGAAACCGAACATGGCAGTGGGCCACCTGTAAAAATATCGACTGACCAAAACTTTGATCAAATCCATTTATATGGTGTTACAGGATGGACATGTAGAATTAGTATTACGCAAACTTTATCTAAAAACTGATGGATAATTTTAAAAAGACGTTGGGGCAGGTAAGAGATGTATTACTTCATCAGGATAATAATAATAATCTACCAATGCAAACAGGCTTTTCACTGGTAGATTACCCACCGCATGCGCCAGTCCTAGCTCCAGATTTCAGTGTTCTCAAAATTAAAACATTTACGAAGAAATTTTCAATTACGCAAAAAGGTGATTTCTGCGCTAGAAGAGCATTTAGACAAAATTTGTACCTGGGTACTTTTGTCATGCTCAAGCACTGTCTAAATAAGAGCATTGATATTACCAAAAAAAAAACACATTAAAAGTAGCTTTATTACAGGCGATCAGGAGTGGAGTAGAGTGATCAAATCTGGTAGGAGCTATTTGAATGACATAGGTGCTGTCATAAAGCGTATCTCCATGATCGCGTCCATTACGAGTATTATGTACACTAAGAGAAAAATAGAAATATTTTCTCAACACCAATTTGTAAGCAACAAGTTAGGTTACATGATACAGGAGTTTAATCAACGGGGTTTACATTAAGCTAATTATTCTTGATAATTACTCATTTCGTTTTCAACTTACTCGGTGGAGTTCCAGGGGGCGTAGGGGTAGAAATAGCAGTTGTGGCTACCGTTGCTACCTGAGTGGAAATAACTTGTTGTACTGAAGAAGCTATACTGGATACAGGTGGGGTAGCTGGCGTGCTCGCAGTTGCAGTCGCAGATGATGGCTGTGAGGTTGTCGCTATCAAACCAGCTAAAACCGGATAAAAACGTTCATTACGCCAAAAAATCTTTGCTCAAATACTGTTTCAGGCACGAAAACGAACTGCCTTACTCAAGGAAAGCAAATAAAGGGCGTTGACAAGTCCTGTTCGTAAAGAGTATTGGCAATCTGCGATATCAAATGCAGCCCCGTCTTAAGCGAATGATCAGAAAAAGTCACGACGTGGGTTGGTAATCAGAAAGTGGATTATTAATTATAAAGCGGATAAAAATGTCTATTCCTATAGTAAAGCTTTGTAGCTTTTGAAAAACGGACCAGTGGCGAGAGAGGAAAGATCCGAAAATGAAGAATTAAGAACCGCTCAAAATTCGTTTTTTGACGTATCAGATCATTATTAAAAAAAATTTAAGAGGTAACAAAAATTGCGGGTTGGGAGGGTTTATCTCAATCTTTTGATGCTGGTACATTTATATGCCCTCAATATTGGTATTTCTACGCACCTATTAGACATATTTCACATATCACAGATTTCCTGTACATTAGCTCTGAAACCTAAAAATATTCTAGGGGAACGGATCGCTGCTGGCGTCGTGTGGTGCGGCGACCGAGATGAGTGTACTGGTATGGAATCACACGCAACAGCATTGTGTTCTCTATGCTCTGACCGAGCTACCATGCACTGATAAGGGCGTTGCGTGGAAAGTGCAGAGTCAACCTATTAGCCGCCACTTTTTGGGCGACCATTTGGAACAGTATTTATATAATATTATTAAGCAAACGGAAAAAACCTCGGAAATTTGGAATGAAAAAAAAAAAGGAAGGTTCGTTTGTCGCCATTTGATAAAGGATGTCGACCTACAAAATGTGATATCTGCCAGATGAGTTATACCTTTGATCATCTGCAACCTGGCCGCAATTTGTTGTTCAGCACCCTTCTTCTCCCTAGCCAATCTCTCAGCCCTCCTGGCAGCAACTTCGACCGGCAACACTGGATGCTCCAAATCGATTCCCAGTCCCTCTTGCTGCGTTGTCGGTTGCTGCGTCTGCTGCTGTTGAGCCGCTGCTACTGCTGCGGCTTGCACTTGAGCCTGAGTGGGTCGCTTGGTCACCACTGGACTGCTGGGGGCTATTGCTCGCGTTGCTGGGACGCGTTTGTTGACTATGGATTTTAATGTCTCAAAACGTTCATTCATTATTTGGGAGAACGTCACGTTGTTGTCTTGGGTGTACATTTGCGAAGTGCGCATTCCTCGACAAGATGATTTATTACCTAGTGAGTATTTCTGTACGGTCCCGCCAACTTTGTTTTTCTTCTTTTTGAATGTGGGATCAATACTGATTTGTTTGCCTTCTTCACGCTGCATAAGTACCATTTCGTAGCGGTATTTGCACTGCTTTGGTGTTCGGTAGGTTACTGAGACAGTGTTCACATAGTCGGCTACGAAGTCCCAATTTGGAGTATGACCAGGATTCATTACCAGCAAATTCAATGACAAACCCTTTAAAATAGCATGAAATAATGTGTAAAACAAAGAGTGGTTGTAAATTGAATTGTAGTATTTTCGAGTATATTATGTTAAATCCACAATTTGTCGTTACTCATATTGACGTTAAAATAAATGAAAATCGACAACTCCCAGTTGTTCAAAGTTTTACGCATTTGCAAAGTGTTAACGAGTACAACAGATTGCTATGATTCACAGCATTAGTATTAGAAGTCAATGAACAAATGCTTTGAGGTTTACATGGTATTCAATGCGATGTTTCGATATTTACCTGGAAAGACTGGATGACCTTAAGAATGGCCATGTCTTCATGTATGGTCCATTCATGGAAAACTGGCTGTTCTACAGGCGGTTTTTGGACAGCTGCTTTTCCTGGAATGGGCAGAGAAGGACGAACCAATCCCCTGCAAAATGTCCGCTGCAACTTAACCTCCGACTCTCTACAGCCATAAAAAATATTGCACAATATGTAAAGCATAAAATCTGCTTTTATCCATCTGTAAATAGCTTGCATTCTTTATACGGAGAAGTTTTATTAACGACGCAGAGTTAAAAACAATAGAATTGTCCGGATAGTTTAGTCGAAATGTATTAGAAGACATATTCCATCCGAGAATAAATTCTGTCGAAGCACTGAGTGGATGGACCGGGAGTTGTCAAACCAAGCTGAGGCAATATAATCTTTTCACAGAAAAAGAGCTCTTCCGCCTAGTGGTCGTTCAGTATTATACAGGGTGTCCCAGAAGTCGACGTCCTTGCCGAAACCGGGTGATAGGCAAAGTCATAACAGCTAAGAAAAATATTTAAAAAAATTTTATGTATGTGTTTTGAAAATTATAGGTCTTTGAAAAAGATATAGAAATTTCACACCCTGTCTGTCAACTCCTGTTACTACAAATATTAACTTTTTTTGGATATTATTTTTACAATGTAATGATGATTAATGCATCTTCAAACTGGTGTCTCAACCTTACTGCCAACTTTTCTCGTTCAGGAAAAATTGCCACTTATTTCCCAACCATCATGCCACATGTAATGTGACTATGGAACATGCTGAAATACACTAGCCATAAATTATGGATATCGAAGAATCTGCAAAGCTGACTAAGAACAGATAATGGTGTAGACAGTCTAGAACGTAAACAATCAATATGAGATGTCTAGTCGTTATGAATACTTGTGGGAACATCATTCATATATTTTAGGAACATCGGGGGCCCTCACAGCTTACATACTGCTTCCTATTCAACAGATACGAACGAAATAGCGCTAGCTCGGTATTTCTTATGTCATAGTATTCTAGTTTTTTCAATAGTATATGTTAATTTGACACATTCAAAATAATGATTACGTCAAGTGATACAAGGTAACTCTAGTAGTATTTTTTCGAAATCCAAATTGTGCTACAGATAGGATAGATTCACCTTCGCACAAGTTTAATAATTTCTCTTTCACAATAATCTCAAATTTTTTCCCAATAATAGGTATAATTCCAATTGGCCTGTAGTTTTCGGCGGAATCTCTGTCCCCGGATTCTGTCGATATTTTCATCGGTTCTTGAAGACTTCCGCTTAGCTTAAGAACTTAATGTGGTATTACTACTTACCTGTACTTTTGCAACTTAAGATCCCGTCTCATCTTAAGCACCGCAGGCGAATGAAAGAGACTCCTGGGCACGTTGGCAATGCCTCCGATCCCCTGGCCCCCTTCGTCCTTCCTGGGCAACTTGAGGGGCCTTCGGCTGCCTTCTGTCGCAAGACCCGCTTCCGCGCGACTGCGCTTGCACTCGCCGCTGCTCCTTTTAATGTAGATCGGGGGCAATTGGGACTCTGACATCACGTTCACGTCGTATAGGAACGACATAGTTTGATCCACGTACATGTCGCCCTCTTGGGATGGTGGAGTTGGTGGACACCACATCTAGAATGTAATTTACGCTAGAGCAGAGGTTTCTAATCTTTTTTGCAATTGCGGTAGGTTTTAGTGTTTGGACACACATTATTGTAAGTAGACCTTTTACGATAGAGATTTGAAGTTCCAGAAGACAGTTTTAGGACTCTGTATTTCCCACGAAACCATTATTGTTGTGTTCCGCAATGCAATTCTTGGACCAAAAAGGAATGAGTTTTCATCAATTTCCCCTCGAGAACGGACAGAAAGTTTACTTTCAAACTGAAATGGGAAACGAACTAGTTGAAAGAAGAAAAGCGTGGGATTTGAAACTTAGAACTGGAAAGCCAGTTACAACAGATTATTTTAATAAAGGTAGGTTATCAAGGTTTACTAGGTACTAAAATAATTCATATTAATCTATTATTTTTTTTTTACCTTTTATTGTTTTGGGTATTTCCATTAAACTAATAGTTGTATACAATAATTTGTTTTCTTCCAGGGAGAAATACAGAGAGAGGCCGTATCCAGTGCATTCTGAGATGCTGTTAAACGAATCTTGCAGTCCATCAGAAAGATATAGAAAAAGGAAACTGAAGCATCCCAAGATGGCCCTTGTGATGTTTAGATGAATGAAGAGTTTTGCAGTATTCTGGGAAAATTTAAGCTGCTCAAAGTTTAATACAGTAATTTAACTCGGGCCAAGACATAAGTGAAAGTGGAATCAATGGTGTTCTTCAAAATATGCAGTTTTCAGTTCTTGACTCTGAAGTTAAAGTTAACACTGACAAAATATCTGCACCCATTAACTATAGACAGTGCTTTAAGAAGTTTCACAGGAATAAACAATTTTGAAAGTTCTGAATATATAGTGGTAAATGTGGAAGAATTACTTGTCACAATGACAAAATTAAAATTAGATCTCAATTTTGTGCCACTTGAGGTGTTATTCCATATTTATAGCCAATTACGTAAAACGTATTATTTTGATATTCTTTTTGTTTTGAGTAAAATTATAGATCCTTGGATCTACTTCCCTCTTGCTGGAGAAATATCTAAAAATGTACCTGAATGTTTAAGATATTTCCAAAATTTTCGAGTTGTTTTAGATTGTGCAGACATAAATATCCAAACATCAAGTTGTCTTTGTTGGCGCATCAAGTTTTACTCTCAGTATAAAAAACATACTACAGTCAAGTTCACGACTGGAGTTGCTCCTGCTAGTTTGATTACCTTTGTGTTTAAAGCTTATGGCGGCCGTGCATCTGACAAAATGATTTTTGGGGAAAGTAATGTTATCAAAAGAGCTTTTTTCGCGAGATCCCGTAGTGAACCGGAGCGGTAACAGATGGAATTTCCCCTTCCTCTCGAAGTTTTGACAGCTTCAAGTTACACCGGGAGTGGCTAGATGGCGCATGTTGCGCAAAATGTTTGCTCTAAGCTCCTTGATAAACTTAGCTGCCTTGTTTGAATCTGAAATAAAGAGATCGTTTTTTGTGCAATGTACATATATTTCTACAGAATCAATCATTTGATATGACAAGTGCGGTTCATATATCTTCGATGACCTTCTCCCTCGTCATTTAAAATCAGGTGGACGTGTTCCTCCATTTATGATTTAACAATTTAACTCAATTTTCAGCACTGCGAAGACAAATTTTCAATTGAGATGCCTGTTTTTTAAATGACATTGACATAAGACTTGTCACCCGCTAGTACCCCACAGACGTTAGGCGGGTACCCGTACCACGCGATTTTTTGAAATTCGGACTACGTCACATCCGTCTTCCCCTATTCCCGTTCATCGCGAAAATTTGAGTATCGGTTCCCGGTAGTGCACTGTGCTACACCGAGGACTCGCGAAAAAATCCTTAAAGTTATTACTCAATCGGGATGCCTTTATTGATGATATTTTTTCTGTAAGTAACAGAGTGTGAATTTGTATTGCCTCCTATATATGCAATATATTCTACTAAACTCAGAGTTATTTGAGCTACTTTTCTCCTGAGAATCCTCTAAAATTACAAAAGACTAAACTATGTTCTGTATAATAGCAGGTATTTTTACAAAGTTTGCATCTACCAAAATGGACAAGAAAGTTATTGAACAAAACAAAATCAGTTTTTACAACACAGTATGCAAAATTTTCGTTCAACAAATAAAAGAACGCATAACCGTCAGAATTTAGCAAAAAGCAGAAATCACTTCAAAACACCTTTTCAAAGAGAAGCTAAAAAGTAAGGTTAATGTGTCAATGTACAAGAAACTAGTTTGGTGTCCGCCGCGGCAATCTTAACTTGAAATCCCAATACGTATTATAAAGGGTGTTTCAATAAGGACGCAATATTTCAAGGTTCTATTAAACATGGTAATTCCTAACAAACAACTGAAATATTTATTGGATTATGGTATGAAACTTTGGAATTATGTATGAAACAACACATCAGGTAAATGGCTGCCACGGCTCCGCTGGCACATGCGCACTCTTTTAATAAAGTTTGTGGCAACATTTTTGAACACATGTCGTGGTATCTCGTTGATACAGCGTCTGATTTCAGCTTTCAATGCTTCGGTGGGTGCAGGCTTGTTGGCATAAACTTGTGACTTCAGATAACCCAAAAGCACAAACGTGTTAAATCGCAAGAGCGTGGCGGCCAAGTCTGGTCACCAAACCGGGAGCAAACTCATGCAAAACTGCCAATGTTTCATACGTAGTATGACATGTGGCACCATGCTGCTGAAACCATATATCATTAAGAGCCATTACTTCTAACCGTAGCACAAAAAACGGAGTAATCATCGCACGATAACGTTCGCCATTCACTGTTGGGGGGTTACCCGCCTGGTCCTCACAAAAAAAAGTCCAATAATTCCTCCAGACCATATCGCACACCAAACGGTGACACGTTTTGGATGCATAGCTTTCTCATTAATTACCCTTGGATTCTCTGTGTCCCAAATGCTGCAGTTTTGTCTATTGACGAAGCCATCGAGATGAAAATGGGTCACATCGCTAAAAATGATTTTGTCTACAAAATCACCATTCACATACTGTCGGCCAAGGATCCAATTGCTAAACTCTCTTCACTGTGCATGGTCTGTTGGTATAAGCTGTTGAGTCAACTGGACTTTGTAGGCATGCAGGTGTAATCTTTCGTTAGAATACTCTGGAGAGTGGATGTTTTAATGTACAATTCTTGAGCGCGACGACGAATCGACGTCCCTGGATTCTCGGCTACATTTTCGCGAACTGCTATGACATTTTCTTATGAACGACCGCTGCGAGCTCGTCTCCTATGTTTCACATCATTAACAGAACCAGTACTTTCAAATTTTTGGATTATTATTTTCACAGTGGATGGGGTAGGAACATTATTCCGACCGAATATTAGCTGCGCTTTTCGAATCGTGGCAATTAAACTTTCACCACTTTAGTAAAAATTTTGAACAATTAGGATACGCTGTTCTATTGTGTAATGATTCATTTTCATAAACTCCCGCCTGTCTACTATCGATCTGTCATGTCACAATTCTTATGACATTATGACTGCTAAAATGGCGCTAAATTCAAATATTACGTTCTTATTGTTACACCCTTTATATTATATAACAAGATCATGGTATTCACATTATTGAAATCCCTATAATTCCTGATTATGAGGCCCAAATTTGTATAGGACTTGCTAACAACAGCATCAATATGCGAAACAAATGCAAGTCTGGCATCAAATAATATACCAAGTCATGAAACTCTTCACACTTGTTAAGTCGCGAATCATCAGTGTTATATATGAATATGATTGGAACAAGTTTGCGTGTAATAGACATATTCTAGCATTTATCAGCATTAAGGTACAGCTTGTTACCGTGACACCATTTATTTAGGTTGTTCAAGTCGTTTTGCAATGTATTACAGTCGTCCATGATTTCAATTTTACAAAAAATCTTCAAGTCATCTGCATAGAGAACACAGCTACTGTGTAGTTTCAAAACGACGTCATCAATGAAAATTTGGAAAAGCAAAGGGCCAAGAGCGGACCCTTGAGGTATGCCGGAAGAAGATAGCTACTGTGTAGCTTCAAAACGACGTCATCAATGAAAATTTGGAAAATCAAAGGGCCAAGGGCGGACCCTTGAGGTATGCCGGAAGAAGATACCTACTGTGTAGCTTCAAAACGACGTCATCAATGAAAATTTGGAAAAGCAAAGGGCTAAGAGCGGACCCTTGAGGTATGCCGGAAGAAGATATAATCTGAATGGAAGTGAACTTTCAAGCATCTGTTTGTAAGAGTTGACAAAACTCAAGAATTGATGCGTCAACCCTCTCCTAGCCAATTTCTTTAACAAAATACCGTAATTAAGCCTATCAAAAGCCTTTGAAAAGTCAACATAAGCAACATCTACTTGCCCCGCTTCATCAACAACTTCGGAGCAAAACTGTTTAAACAGGCTAGATTAGTTAAAGTAGATGTACCCTGGAAAAAAACCATGTTGATTTGGAGAAATTTTGTGCTTAACCTGAAAGAAAAGTATATCATGCAATATATACTGAGTGTCAAAAAAGGTAAACACCGACGTATGTTTATTAGAATTCAAGAATTTTTCATATCTATTTATCTTGCCATGAACAACAAGTGATAAAGTGGTCAGGTTTTTCTGCTAAGTTTTTGTGGTGGCTGCGTGTATTGTTTGGTGATAAAGAAGCATTCAGCTTTCGTACATTTACGGGGTCAGTTACATGTTAAATTTCGTGTAGATTATTGAGAAGCCTTTTTGTGATTGCTCAAAATGCCTAGAGTGCGTAGAATTCGCCAGGTGTCCCAGCTAAGTGACTTTGAGAGGGATCGAATTGTCGGCTTGCGTGAAGCCAGTCTATCGATAAGCGAATAAGTTTCTAGTAGTATACTGCAGTGTGAACAAGTGTGGACTCAGGAAGGCAGAAAACAGCGAGTGAGGGGTTATGGACGTCCCAGAAGGACCACAGAGCGACAAGACCGCCGGTCAAGACTTCTGGCTATGAGAGACAGATT